TCTCTGGGAATTCTCTTTCCCTATATCTCTTACTTTTGTTTGGATTGTTATGAAGGTGATCTTGGTTGGACATGATTTTGGAGGGGCATGTATATCATATGCAATGGAGATGTTTCCTGTTAAGATTTCCAAGGCTGTCTTTATTGCTGCAGCAATGCTGACTAGTGGACAAAGTACTCTCGATATTATTTCTCAACAGGTTTTCCATCTCCTGCTAGCATTAAGATTAATGCATCTTCATTTTCACTCGTTCTGTAATATGAAAATCTCTACCAAAAAAGTTGCACAAAGCTTGAATGAAAAAGGGAGGGTAGGTGAGGTGATAGGGATTGAGAGTCATTGTAGTTATTTTATTATCCTGATTCCTGAATTTTGTTAAAATTGTTTGAACTAACATTCTATGTACAGCTATGTGATTGGATCCTTCAACAACGACTTCTATACTTTTAATTTCCTCTTTGCATGCAGCTACAACTGGCTTTTGCACGGCAAAAGGCAGTGCGTTTTACCTCAATTCCATTAGGTGGTTTATGTTGAGAACTTTTTATAAGTAATCAAAAATGCATATGTTCAATTCCAACCAATTAAAAAGTCATTTACCAGTATTATACACCTGCTTTATGGCTGCTTCATAATAATATGCATTAAATTTTTGCTAAACTGATAATCTTACTATCATTCCTAGTAAAATTATGATATCGCACCCCTTTGGAGTAGAATATTTATGTTTTGGAAGGGGCTAAGATTGAAAACAGAGACAGACGGCATTATAATTATCTGTAATTTTTTCTTGTTGTATGCAATGCAGTTTCATTGTCTATAAATGATGAATTCTCGTATCCTTTAGTGATGATTCGATTGTGGCTATCTGTTGCAGGCAGGTGGAAATGATCTTATGCAACAGGCTCAGAATTTTATATATGCTAATGGGAACGATCACCCTCCCTCAGCCTTTGATCTGGACAAGTCATTGTTGAGGGATTTGTTATTCAACCAAAGTCCCGCCAAAGTAAGTAGTTTGGGTGGTGCCATATTTCCATTTCCCTTTCAAAGAGAACAAACAGAAGTTCCCTTGGTCCTGCTACATTTTATTTATTTATTTATTATAATTAAAATGGCAATACCTGGGAAAAAGACTCATCTTTACTTCATATCCAATCTCTTATTCAGTCTGAGTTGATAAAGATCTACAAACTATTTTTTTAGCATTTGATGACTGGATTTTTATGTGCAAATTATTTAATTAGTTGATCTTAGATTTATTAGGGACTCAACTAGTCAACTGCTAATCAGAGTGAGAATTTGGCACAAAATAAATGTTGGATGACAAGGGAAATTGTACAATTAGTTGAATAGCAGGCAACTGCTTTATGAGTGCTTCATAATTTTCAAAATGGTTAGTTTTCAATGTTCTCCGTTGATCTCTACTATTTGATGAGTATGTTGCAAATTAAACATGTAGAATTTCTCAGAAGGATTTTGCTCGGTCTTTTATCTGTTACTTTATAAAGATGGTTTACATATGCAATATGCTGCAGGAGAAAGCTGATATCCCGTTAACTATAACACAGTATAATATATTTTATATGTAGTCCTTCTGTAGTGAATCCTTGCTGTCAGGATCTCTCCCTAGCCAATTAAATATTGTCTCTAGCATACTATGTAAATACACATTTGTATATGTGATTCAGAATCTAAGCTTTGTTTCTGCCCTTTCTCATAGTTTTTTGCGACCTTATATCTATATCCCCTGACCCTCCTCGTATGTTGTTTGTTTTCTAAATGCAGGATGTTGCACTAGCATCTGTCTCGATGAGGTCTGTACCATTTGCACCAGTTCTAGAGAAGCTTTCCCTTTCAGATCTGAAATATGGATCTGTAAGGCGGTTTTATATAGAAACCCTTGAAGACAATGCCATACCCATTTCACTGCAGGAGAACATGATAAATGCTAGCCCCCCAGAAAAGGTTTTCCGTTTGAAGGGGGCTGATCACTCTCCTTTTTTCTCTAAGCCTCAAGCCCTGCATAAGTTATTGGTAGAAATCTCAAAGATCCTCTGAGAACGTTCATTGGCTAAATTGTTTGTGAAGCCCTACTCACGTTATAGCTTCTGTAACATGAAATAAGAATGTTCACATGCCTTTTATAGCCTATTATTGTGTGCAAGTTACAGGTTTCATTCTTCCTCTTCTTTTTTCTCTTTCTAGAGTTAAAATTTTGAAAACTAGCTTGTATATCCTGTAATTTGCAACAGATATTACTTGCAACGTAAAACTCATGTTATAGCGCAAGTATTACTAGTTAAAAGTGTCAGTATCTGCTGATTAGTGTTGCAAGTTATACCCCTAGAACTATAGAAAAGAAAACCTGTAACTTGCCACCGATCCTATGTCAACAGTGTGTTCACCATAGCAAGAGATCATCACAATGCAAAGCTTACATTGCAAGGAAGAAAAAGTCTAGAGCATCAAATGTGTTTACATTCTTTTGATGTTCCATTAATACTGCTGGTTGCAGGAGGTTTACATTTTGAGAATACTGGAGACTCCTTGGAACTGCATTTCTTTACAGTCTGCACTCCCCCCTTTTGTTTTAGGCAGTTTTTCCCATACTTTTACACGCGACTCTAATAAGTGTTTTCTTAGCAACATGAGTACATAAATTCCTCATGCTTTACAGGATTGCAAGATAACTGATATGCTGTAGTGTTTTTCTTAATCTCTTGACGTTTTATGGTGATTACTGATTCTGTTGTCTCGCATGGAAAAGTTACTGATAAATTTAGTATAAATAATCATTAAATCCTGGTTAGAGTTATTGCATTTTATAGAATTTAACTAATGTTAGGTAAGTTTATAGGAATATAAAACATTATTTTAAATTAACTCAAATTTAAATTTATTTAATATAATTTTCTTAATTATTTATTCAAACGAAAATGTATTTTTACTTTGTATACTTCAATTCTTTAATCAGTTTTAAATATAATAAAATGTTTGTAAATCATCAAAAAGAATTTAAGGTTTTAAAATTTTAAAAGTTTAAGTGTGTTTAAATTATCATTATTAAAATATGTATCTATCAGTCAAATTAATTTCTATTGTATTTTTAATTTTTAATTTAATTTCTTACATTTTTTTTAATAAATATAACCATATGTCAGATTACACCACGGATTATTGATTAGTTGTATAATCAGTTGCACCGTAATGATTTAGACGTCATTTTAAATGCCATCAAAGCCTCCTCTTCCAATTATTCGGTTTTCACCAAAGTTGTTCGATGATATTATTATATCAGCCAGAAAAAATTGACGGCACAACTCTTTCCATGATTGTGAAGATTGCTTTTTAGATGAATTTGAATGCATTGAAAACTAGAAGCCCAAACATTTAAGAAACATTGTTCCCATTAGATTTTTATTGGTTGTCAATGACCGTATTCAGCTTAACTTGTTTAATTTTCATTCCTAACCTCACGTGGAACCATCATGAACAAGAAAACTGTAATTATGACAATGTGACCAAACCCAAAGCGTTGATACATTGTTTAAAATAATTAATGCCCTAGTAGTCTAGTACTTCCGACATTTTTTTTTCAATACACCAATTTAGAGTCATTCCTTTTTTTTTTCTTTTTTTTTTTTTTAAAATCTCCAATCAAAACTATATTCTCCATTAATAAAATAATTTTGAAATAATATTTTATATGTGACTAACACATCTAATATTCTCTACAAAAAAAATAACTAAGGTTAAATTAAGTAAGTACTTTCTTGAGGTTATGCCTAATGTGATTCTATTGTTATAAGGAAGTCCTTAATCTCGTGGTCTTTTCACACTGGAGACTATAAAATTAGTAAGTGGAATAATATAGTACAGCTGTAGCTACATAAGAATTAAATCACAATGAAACACTAGTACGCATCCCTTGTTGCTGAACTAATTCTAGGGAATCTGGGAATGGAGGCAGTAATTGTAAGTACAAATCCTATTCGTATATAACTAATGATGACCATATTACAATTCATTAAAAAAATATACAACTTTGCCTATGCGTCCAAATGGTTTGAAGTTGAAGCAGCACAGAAGGCCGGTATAAAACAGGGATCAAGTTCTTCAAGAAAAATATTTTCACCAGATTTGAAACTCCTATGGTGTCAGGCACAAAATAGCAATCCCACTAATTTTCTTTTTCTATCTATGTAGATATTTTTCTCACGTTCTGGTTTTGTTATGTCCTGAAGATGGCTACAAACAGATTGTTTGTCTTGATAGATTCTTTAAGCCGCATGAACGGTTCACCATGACTGGTTAACCGTAAATAGATCTCATGTTTGTTAAAATAGAAATAAAGTCTCCTATCAATAAAACAAGAAAAAAATAATAGTTTATAAAATACACATATTCTAATGATTAATAAACATTTTAGATTATAATCAAAAGTAAAATTATGCGAACTTAAATACAAAGTGGACAATATTTTATTATTGTAGAATTCTGTATGAAATAATTTTATAATTATAAACAAATCATGGGTGTGAGAAATTTTCCATGCAAAAAGAAAAAAATGGGTGAGTAATAAAAAAAAACCCACATTATGGTAATTTTACGATTGTCCACCCTTAGATACTGTGTATGTATGCTACAAATGATTGCGGGGTGTATGTTTTAAAATATATAGTGATGGTATCATGGAAATAAAGCAGAAAACTACAAACTTGTGAGTAACTTAGCCTTCTGCCTTCTGTTTTGGTTATAATAATACATGTGATTATAACTGTTATAATTTGTTATGTTTTTCGGAAGGGGGATATTCTAAAATTTCGGAAGAATTTTATTCTTCAATGGTTCAAAGATTTAATGAATGATGTCTACAATGATGCAACAGTTTGGAATGAAACACATTGTGAATTAGAGCATTTCTAATTAATTTTTTTATAAGATATTTATCAAGGTTCTTATTTTACTTTAAATCATATCTATCATGTTATATTACTCTTATGCAATTCACATTACATTTTTACAAATTTTATTCGATGATTATAAGTAACACACTTTTATAATATTGTTTATTTACGGTTCACATTTTGAAAACTTAAAAATAATTAATATAATTATTATAATTAAATATTAATTTAATTAAACATAATAAATACTATTTCTTAATTTATGGAAGTGATTTTTCAAAACAATTTATATTCCAAGTGAATCATTTATTTATAAACAATTTCCTGTATCATTTATCACACTCGAATGCGAGTTGTTAATAAATATTGTTGTTATTAATAAGATACATCACAAACACTTTATATTTAAAAATATAATTATTAAACTTATTTGTTAGTTTATTTAACATTGTTAATGCAAAATAAGTTTTTAAATAGTTTAATAGATTAAATCAAACTTTTAAAAATATTAAATTAAACTTATAAAAAAAGTTTATAATAGATAATATGTCAAATTTAGACTTTAATTTATAGAATAGATTTAACATGTATATTTAAAACCTGACATATTGATAGCAAACTTAGGAGAAGTGATGGATGATCTTCTCCACGGATTTGCTTAGGCCGGATCTTCTTCAATGGAGACTTGATTCTTCAACTCAAGAACACTTAGAAGCTAAGAACTCACGGATGAACTCAACCTAGAACTAGGAGGGAAGCATCCAAGCTCAAGCATCAATGGAGAGCACACTTCAAAGAGGAGGATTCTAAGGTGAAATCCTAAGGTTTTGAAGATGAACTCTAAGGGACTTTTGAGAGAGGAAACTCGGCCAATGGCTCACAAATTTCAATTATGATCAAAAGTGAATACAAAAGGTGAAAGAATGGCTTAAGTATGCACGGAATTGTGACCCATAGGTGCCTAAACTAAAGCCTCACAAAATGGCGCCTAAAGTTTGAATTCAAATTTGAATTTTGAATTCAAACTTTGGTGCACATGTGTAAGTCCGAAAATTTAGGTGCCAAGGTGCATTTAGGTGTGATTTGAGAGTCATTTAGGGTTAATTTGAGTGGCACATGTTCAGCCACCCATGGTGCTAAACATGTGACTCAAATGTAACTTAAATGACTTCCAAATTAAACCTAATTTAACCTAATTAGCATACTTTAGTATTCCTTGTATTTTCCTATTCTAATGACCTAATTACATTGGTCAAACAATTACAATGGAAAGGAAAAATTACAAGAATGAAAATGAGCCCAATATTGGGTACCAAAAGCCCAAAGGCCCATGAAGCCCAAAACTAGGCCCAACTAGCCTAAAACCTAAAATGCTACTCTATGTGGTCCAAAATACAAGACCAAAATATATGATACCTATACTAACATGATGTATACAAAATATATGAAAATAGCTATAACAAACTATGGCCCATGAAAAGTTTAACTTGGGCCTTCCCAGGCCCATAAGGCCCATTGGGCCCTGACTGGCCCAAACCTTCATGTCTAGCCAACTCCTCTTGGTTCTTTGAGTATGTCACCTCTTGCACTCCAAAGCATGATTCCATCACATATTCTCGTTCCTAGCCACAACTTTTAACTTCTGAATCTCTGTGTCATTGCTTTTTACAATTTAGGTCCTGGTGTCCACTATTTTTACAATTCAAGTCCTCATGCCTAGTGTTTTCTACATTTTGAGTCCTTGTATCTAACATTTTCTATATTTCAGGTCCCCATTGCTTTTTAGAATTTGGGTCTCCACGTCACATTCCGAGTTCCCATGCCCACAACTTTTACCTTTTGGATCCTTGCATCTAATGTTTTCTACATTCTGGGTCTATATGCCCACCACTTTACATTTCAAGTCCTCGCACGCATTGCTTTTAAATTTCAAAACATGATGCTTATTATTTTTATTTTTGAGTTATCATCTTTTTGTTGGGTATCTTGCCTATTGTTTTAAGTATCAAATGAAATTAGAGTTGTCTTCACTTATATTTTACTAAGTTAATATGAAAAAGGTGAATTGTTCATATTATCTAGTAAAATTAAATAAAAAGGGACAATTATAGTAATCTAATTTTGTCTAAAAATAATAAAATTTGAAGGAAAAAGTGATAAAAATGGGTTAAAAAAGAGGAAATATAAAAAATAAAATATAATACAAAATGAAAATAAAAAATAAAAAAGAGAAAATTAAAAAAAATAATTATAAGAGGAAAAAACAACGAGTGAGATGTATGTTCATTTTTATCTAAGTAAATAACTTAGAAAAAAAAGAGAAAATAAATTTTGAAGTTTTTATGTTAAATAAATAAGTTCACAATATCATATCTTTTGCTATAGTGTTCTTTGCACTATTGAAAGCTTGACAATAAATCTATAATTGTTGATTCTAGTATTAAAATCAAAATCCATCTCCATCTTGATGAAAATCAATCCCAAAGTAGGTGATTTATTGAGAAAAAAAAGTTCAAATTTCACTTTATTTTTTTTTTCAACCAAAAGGTCTAACATTGCCTACAATAATTTCATACACCTCTTCCTTTCCTCTTATCGAACCACTCACAAATGTATAGTTTTGCAAATTTCGCGTTCGACATGCTTAGTTGTTCGTGTGAGGCAGTGTGTTGGAGATCTTGTATTGACTAAGAATAGGGTCATAATAATGTATAATATAAATAGAGAACAATCATTTAATAATGATGGATGTAAGAGAATGTATTAGGAAAAACCTAAGTCTCGCCTTTCCTAGATATTTAAAAAGGGTTATTCATCATTTATTCTCCTATAAAGCTCAATAGTATTAGACATGAGGAGGTGTATATTGAAAAGAACCCAAGTTCCACATCATTAGAGATAAGACAATTAAAAAAAACTCATGCAAGAGACAACCTTCACCTTACAATCCAATTATATACGATTAATTTGGGCTTGTAATCCACATTTTAAGAAATAAAAACAAAACCATTTTGCACAAACATCCAATAGAAATATCATATTAATAAATAAGATGATGCGAGAACGTAACTAATCTTTATCATATGTTTAGAGAAAAAAAAAACTTTACACTAATGATGTGTATAAATTAAATTCGCTGCCTATAGATTCATCAATTGATATTTGTTTGAATTTTGGTTTTGACTCAAGAAATTGCAACTCTAAGGAAAAGCCAAAATCTGAGAGTTCAAGCACCACATTGTTTTCCAAAACAATGTTTTTGGGTATTTGTTGCCCAATGAAAGATGGTGTGCTTGGGTCCTCTATGAAAGTAATGTAGTCATTCACTCCTTTGAAGACTTTTTAGCCTATGCACCCAAAATAGTGATATAATTTTCATATCACTACAATTTAGGCAATTATGGAGAGATCCATTGGCAGTGTAGTCATTCACAAATCACAACAATCTTCTTGTCTTTATGGTCATAAAATTCTACTAGAGACACAAAATATGTGTTGGACGTTGGGTGGCGAAGCTGGCAAAGAACTTGATTTCATTCTTGAACTTAAAATCTTTTCCTTTGATTTCCATTCATCTGCTTTATTGTTACATTGATAAGGAAAAGAAAATTATAGAAAATAATTTTTGATAACTACACTTCATCAATTTTTACAAGAAAACATTATAACTATTTAAAAGATAATAACTATAAACTTTGTAATTGCCTACAAAATAATTGACATCACACAACGATAAATATTCAAAACATTTGACTAAGCAACAACTCGACTCCACATCAACAGTCCTAAACACAACATTTAACACTCCTCCTTACTTAAGGAACTGTAAATACCAAGTTTTGATCTCAAAAACTCAACCTTGCTAATTGATAATGGCTTGGTGAAAACATCCACAACCTAATCTTTTATTCTACAATAAACAAGAGAAATTGTTCCATCTTTTTGTACTTCCTTCAAAAAGAATAACTTAATGTTGAAGTGCTTGGTTTAGGCCACAAGTTCTCATCAATTCTACTATACCAAGCTTGTGGAGCTTGCTTCAGGCCATAAAGTTCCTTTTTAAGAAGATACACCTTGTCTTCTTCTCCTTCTTTTATATAGCTTTTTGGTTGTTATACATAAATCTCCTCATGTAGAAAACCATTTAAAAGTGTTGATTTGACATCTAGCTGGGAAACCTTCCAATTATTTTGTGCTACAACGAGTAAAAGCTTGATGATGTCTAGTTAAGCAATTGGTGCGAAAGTATCTAAGTAGTCCACATCGAGTATTTGGGCATATTCTTCAACCACAAGTCTAGCTTTTTGCTTGTTGATTGAACCATCAACATTAAGATTGGTCCCACGTACCCAGTTGACTACAATAATTTTTTCATTTTTAGGTTGACTAACAAGTTGCCAAGTTTTATTTTTTTCAACTATGAACAACTCTTCCTCCATTGCAGCTATCCAATTTTGATTAGTCTTAGCCTCTTCTTAATTGGTAGGTTCACAAACATCAATATTGCATATTTCATAAACATCAGAAAACAGTCTTGTGCTCCTTGTAGGACTCTCATCTACCATTCCATTTTCCCAATCTTTAATGCTTTCACCCACTTTGTCTAAAGTAGGAAATGGGAATTTTGACTCTTTTGAGGTTGGCTCGATTGCCTTTGCATCATCCTAGTTCCATTGTTCATCTTCCATAAAAGGCAAGTCCTTCTACTTATAATATATATATTTTTTTTATTTTGAGGCTGAAATTTTTTTATAAGCTTTTGCTACATAACTATAGCTAATAAAGACGCTTGAAAGAGCTCTTTTATCCACTTTATCTCTCCGGATCTGTGGAACATGAGTGAAACACACACTCAAATTTTCAAAGGAAATTTAGAGAAGACTTATAACCATACCAAGCTTCAAATGGTGTTTTATCCCTCACCCCTCTTGTGCAAAGCCTATTTTGCAAAAAAAAAAATATATATTTGTTGCTTTTGTCCAAAATTTACTTGGCAAGTTCTTCTTATGTCACATACAACGTGTCATATCCAATATGAATCTATTATGTTTCTCACTAACTCCATTTTGTTGTGAAGTGTATAACCTAGGTAATTGGTGATGAATTACTCCATCACAAAATTGACCAAATGTTTCATAAGTGTACTCCTTGCCATTGTCTAATCTAAGAGTCTGAATTTTGCAACCACTTTACTCTCAACTCTAGTTTTGAATTTTTGAAAAACTTGAGCGACCTCTAACTTTTGCTTTAGAAAATAATTCAAACATATGAGTGAAGTCATCAATGAATGCAACATAATAAAGACTGCCATTCAAGGAAGGTGTTCTTCATTGGCCTGCAATTTCGGTATGAATTAATTGTAGCTTCTTTGTTGCTTTCCACACTAATGGCTTCCTACTTTGCTTTCCAAACTAATATGCTTTGCAATTTGGAATATGATCATCAGGCTCTGGAATATCATTCACCATATCTTTGGATTTCATTTGTAGCATTTCATGATGATGGTAGTACTTAAGTCTCTTGTGCCACAATTCAGTGATATTTTCTTTGATTTGAAAAATAATTTGCTCCTCTTTCAATGGGTTTAGAGAAAAAACTTTTCCCTTTCATTTTTACTTAATTTGAAAATATCTTTATCATCCACATCTTTAATCAATCAACTTTTATTTTCAAACAAAACTTTATAACCTTTTTCAATTAGTTGTCCAACACTCAACAAATTTTGATCAATTTTAGGAACAGACAACATATAATAAATAAAATTTATACTTGAATAGGTTGAGATCACCATTGTTTCTTTTCTATATTCATAATGATATATTTGCCATTTTCAACTGGAACCTTAGATGAGTTTGTGTTGCCTAGTTCCTTGAAAAGATCCTTGTTGTGTGTCATGTGGTTAGTATAACCACTATCAAGACGCCAATTCTCACTTGATTCAATTCTAAAATTTATACTTGAATAGGTTGAGATCACCATTGTTTCTTTTCCATTCATAATGATATATTTGCCATTTTCGACTAGAACCTTAGATGAGTTTGTGTTGCCTAGTTCCTTGAAAAGATCCTTGTTGCGTGTCATGTGGTTAGTATAACCACTATCAATACGTCAATTCTCACTTGATTCAATTCTAGAGAAACATGAAGCAACACACAAGTGATCTTCCATGTTTTCATCAATAGCTTTTGCCTCTTCAGCATGTGGTTGATTCCTGATTTTGCACATAAAAACTTCATGTCCCATCTTATTACACTTACTGCACTTAGCATGAGGTCTTTCTATAGTGTTAACAAGGTGGAAAAGATTTCTTTCTAGTTTTCATTCTTTCCTTTTGCATTTGTTGGTGTTGAACTTGATCTAATTCTATCAAAATTTTGTTACATGGTTGGTAAAGCTCCTTTGATTTTTATGTCCTCCCAATTCAATCTTCTTTGTTATTGTGCCTTCAATGCATTAAACAATTATGCCAAGGGAATTTTTGACAGATACTTGGAATTAGACTATGATAGTTGCTTCATATTTTTCAGACACTGTTAAAAGATTTATTTTTTCAACAATTTTTAAGTTAGTAAAATCCGACCCTAGCTAGAAGTCTCACATTATTTGCAATACTAAGAAGTCTGTCAAAGTAATCTTTAATAATCTAAAGTTCCTTCATTCGTTGAATTTTAAATTCACTAATCAACTTTCGGATTTGCATGACTTTAATTTTTTCGTCTCCTTCATATTCTTTCTTGCGATAATCCGATATCTCCTTTGCTGACTTCAAAGACATAGTTCGAGTGAAAATGGTGGTTGAGGCAACAACAACTAAGCAAGCCTTTGCCTTTGATTTCTCTATCTTCTTTTCCTTTTGCACTTTTTTTGTGCCATGGTAGGATTAGGTGGAAGTACTGGAATTTCATAGTCTTCTTCCACTGTTTCCCAAAGGTCCAAAGCTTCCAAATATGTCTCTATACGTACTGCCCAAAAATGATAGTTGCTTCCATCAAACACGGTCAGATGATCACGGGAAGACTAGCTTCGACCTCCATGACTTGTCAAACATGCACACAAATCCCGTAGGAAGAGGGCTCTAGATACCAAATGTTGTTACGGTGACAACGAAAAGAAAACTACAGAAAACAGCTTTTGATAACTGCACTTCATCCGGTTTTACAAGAAAACATTACAACCACTTAAAAGATAATAACCGTAAACTTTATAATTGCCTACAAAATAATTGACATCACACACCGATAAATATTTAAAACATTTGACTAAGCAATAACTCGACTCCACATCAGCGGACCTATACACAACATTTAACATGCTCTACTGTGATTGAACAATCGGTTGCACTGTTAATCTGTTATCATTGAGATAACCTTGGTAGTTCCATCATCCATCAATTTTGTTTTCAGTCAGCTAAAGTTGGAGTCTATTCTGGTCGAGGACTAATTAAGAGTAGTCAAAGATAATAAGGTATAATCTTCACAAGTATTTCTGATATCTGCTTTTTCCTGCAGTGACAGAGCAAGCTCAAGCTGAACCTCTACTTCACCCATTGCTGGTCGCTCATTTGGATCAAACTTCAAGCATCTTTCTGTTATATCCATAAATACCTCCCAACATTCTGCTGCAATCTTTCCTTTCAGACTTGGATCAATATTCTCTTCAACAGGCTGCCTCTGCCTATTCTCAACAATTTTTAACTTGTCTTTGCATACCACTTCTAGTAGAACTACACCAAAGGAGTAAATATCGCATTTATCTGTTAAAGCATTGTTTTCTGAAATCTCGGGAGCCACATATCCATATGTACCTATAAGTGAAAGTCTTTAACGAACAATAAAATGAAACTATTTTCAATAAACTAGCCACACAACAAGAATAAATACCTATAAAGCCATCTTTTGATATTGTCTTTGGTTTTGGCTTTGATGCATAATGTGGTCCTTTTAAGGAAATTCGGAAGTCTACGAGTTTGGCCACCATGTTGCTATCCAAAAGAATTTTATAAGGTGTTATGTCACGATGAAAGATGATTCGCTTGGCACCTGTGTGAAGATAGTGTAGTCCACGTGCTGCTCCTATGCAGATCTTTAGCCTCTGCTTCCACGTTAGTGGTACCTTTTTTGCATCACTATGATATAGGTGATGATGGAGTGTTCCATTGGCCATGTACTCATATACGATAATCTTCTCGTCTTTGTCGTTACAAAATCCTAATAGAGTGATCAAATTTGGATGACGAAGCTGGCAGAGCATCTCAATTTCGTTCTTGAACTGCCTAAGTTTTTCTTCGGTGTTTCCCTTCATTCGCTTGACTGCTACTATACACTCAGTAACACCATTGTATTGGAAAGAACCTTTATATACAATACAAAGGTCATCACTTCCAATTATTTGTTTTTCATTGAAGTCGTTGGTTGATTTCCTAATATCAGACAGTGAAAATTGATGGCATAACTCTTCTATCACTGTTGGATACTGTCGCTGAGATGAACTTGTTTGCTTCGAACAGCAGAAGCCCATATATTTGATAAACATTATCCCGATTTTAGATACCTGTTATGTTTCCAATCACAATAAGATTCAACTTTCAATCTTCATAGGTAACATTGTCTGAACTTTAATGTAGGATGAACATGAATACTTATCTTTTGGAACCAAAACTAAAATCAATAGAACCTACCTCTTTTTGGCGATGATTTAGACTTTATGTATGAGGATTGTAATCATGAATTTACAAATTAAGTGTAACTTATAGAGTAACATCAAAATGTACAAACTTGATTGCTGCATTTTATGGTTTCAGGAAAGCGGTTTGAACGAATAGGCGTAAATGTATGGTTTATTGTACACACACATACACTGCACTCCGGATCGTTTTATTTCTCGGTTCTTACACTTTCCTTTTCAATATTAGCATGCCTCTGTACTACCAAATATCATAAAAATAATCTCACCATTGCTATCAGAATCGTAAGGGTGGAATTCGATAATAATCTTCATTATCCCTTATAACTCATAACTGATGATGTGATATATAAAAACAAAATTCTGCTGCATGAAAGGTTATTTTCTTTGTTTGAAAGGTAGATTGTTAAAACAAGTCTCACATTAATAAAATAAGAAAATATAACAATTTATAAAACACACTCATACTCCAATGATAAAGAGATTTTTTGAGTAATGATCAAAAATAAAACCGTGAGGATTTAGGTACAAAGTAGACAATATCTCATTATTGTAAAATTATTTTTTTTTAAAATAGATTACAGGAAAGATTACGGATGTGTTTATTTCATTCTCACATTTTGCGTTTTACAATCAAAATCATTTGTTCAGCTAAAAGTGATGATAATATATAGATACAGATTTATATCCCTATATCAGTAGCTAAAAGTGGTATAGCTAACCCCACCGGTGCAGATTCATTAGATCACCAAACATATTAAAAACTTATTTAGATACAAGCGGGAAACCTTTCGAGGGCTTCCCTTATTATGAAAATAAATAATTATTTTCAATAAGGAAAGTAAAAAATATAAACTTCTATCTAAATATACTTTAAATGTATATATTCAAGTATGGAATCCAAATATATGTCATAATATTTAGAACATTTTAAATCTATTTATTTAGTAAAAGTGGTATGTCTATATTGTTATGATTATGTTATTGATATTTGTTTGAGAAAATATATTTATATAGAAGAGAAGACTTTATCTTTATTATTTATATGAGAATATTTACACACACAATTTTATAATAATGAAATATTGTCTATTTTAAATTTAAGTTCTCACAATTTTTCTTTTAATTATTTCCAAAAAAAAGTTTCTCAACACCTGAATTGAAATACATGTCATAATATCTAGAAAATTTTAAATCTATTTATTTAGTGGAAATGGGTGCCTATATTGTTATGGTTATGTTATTGTTATTTATCTTACATTTATTTCTTATTATCTTCCAAAAGATATTTCAACTATTAAATTATATGTGTATTTTATAAATTCTTATATATCTTCTTATATTAATCATATGAGACTTTTTTATATCTCATCAATTGTATAGAGATCTTATTTATATTCAAGTAGACCTTGTTTTATATCCGAACTATACAACAGATATCATATGGCATCCATTTATTCAATGGAAAAGTAGAAAGCAAGTTTCATATGTAGCGGTGAGGAGGAAATATAGAAACCCAAAAATTAAAATAAAATGAGTTGAATGGGAGTTTACATGTTTTTAGAAATAGAGAATATGACATAAGATTTCATTGGTTGGAACCTGGAGATGAAGGCAAAGCAGAAACAAAGCCTGAGGATCTGTTCAGCTTAGGGACCCTGTTTCTCAGTTCTCACAGAAGACAATGTCCTTCTTTTCTTCAAAAGATATAAATGCACCGTTTGAAAAAGGAAGTGCAAAAAGATATAAAACATTTAAGGAAGGGTATAGACTTGTAGTTAGAGGTATAAAGAGTTTGGTTGGGTCAGGTTTAAATAGATTTATTATTCGAATTAATTAAAATTTAATGAGTAAAATTGAATCAAGTTTATATGATTTTTTTTAAAATTCAACTCAATTCAATCCGATTATAAATATATTTAATTTAGTTGAGTTAATCAGGTTAATATAATTAAGTTTATTATTTTTTTTAAGAATTTAAATATTTCAAAATAGATATAAATTATTTGATGCCTTGTTACACATATAATATTATCAACTTATGAAGTAAATAATAATAAAATTAAATTTAAAATAAATGTATTAGTTTGTTACATTATTATTAATTCAAAAAATCATTAATTAATACAAAATAAAATTAAAATAAACATTATATTATTACGATGTTATCAACCTAAAAATACAAAACTCGTTAATAAGTAAGAGTGATTGAGTATTGTCTTGAACAAGTGATCTTTTAAACATTATTATTACTATTATAATTATTATTATTATTATTATTATTATTGACTTTTATTTTAATATATTGTTATTTATTTATGTAAATACATTGGGCCATAAATTATTCACTTAAGTGACTCATTTTCTCGACCCAGGTGAGAAATTGATTATTGAGTAATCGATTTTTCAATATAGCTATTAATTTTTTTTTTGGAAAAAAACCTATTGAGAAAATGGTTATCCAGTACTCATCGGGCCTATTTTTTTTATTTTTATTTTTTTCATTTTTTCTTTTCTTATTTTTAAAATTTAAAAAATGATTTTAATTTATTTTAACTTTTAGAATTTGAAAATTATATTTTAGTATTTTAAAGAATAATTTAAATTTTAGAATTATACTTATCTCTATTTTTTTAAAATAAATTTCTATTTTTATAAATAAATAATTTTAATATTATTTTTATTTTTAACATAAAATTAAAATATTATACATAATTTTAAATTTTTTACATATAATCATAATATTCATTATTTAAAAATTAAAAAAATATAATTTAATTATTAAAAACCATTTTCAAATTCTGCAAATTAAAATAAATTAAAATATTTTTTATATTTTAAAAAACAGAAAACAAAAAATCAAAACAATAAAAGGTCCAATAAGAAATCGATTACTAAGTGTTACAACAAAGAAATACACACATATATAAATATATGTGTGTATATAAATATAAAATTTAAGTAAATATTTTTTATAAATATTAAAAATATAAATTCATTGTTTTCATTATCAAATAATTGAAATTATAATAATAATTAAGTACAAACTTAAAATTATATATTTAACTAAAAATATAATTTAATTCTTAATTTTTTATTTGTAAGTTATTTCTTATTTATTATTTTTATATATTATTTACATTATCTATACTAATATATAGAGGAGATACCACTTTCAATAACTACTTTAGTTTTCTTTTTATATAGACTATTTTATCCTTTGTTTAACTTTTAATAACTACTTTTTTATGAATAATTTTTTATTTTTATTTATTTATTTTTTTCTTTTAATATAATACAGACACAGAGTATCTTTTTTCTGTTAGTAATATAATAATAAACTTAAATTTTAATTTATTTAAAATATATAAATAAATTAAAATTATAAAAAAATGTGATAGATTCCCCGTGAGTTTATCCAAAATGGATAAAATCCAATGAGAATAGGATGAACTCGAATCCATTTCATCTTTTATGGGGATGAAGAGAGCAAAATTCACTTTCGATCCATTGTGATGTCATTCCTACTTCCTTATAATGAATTAAGTTTAGACATCATAATTTTCACCACAATAAATAAAGAAAATAATGGAGTTGAAATTATTAAAATTAATATAATATTATTGTTTAACTATTATAATATTGATTGATCAACATTTACATATTATAATTATTATTATTATTATAAGATTTTTTTTTGTCATGATCGATATTTAATGTCCTTTTTATATTATAAGTTATGTGTATTTATGTTTTTTTTTTTATCATTTATACAATTTAGTCATGTTTATATATAATTCAATATTTTCATACATGTATATTTTTTAAAATTTATATTAATGTTCTTGTACCCAAGATTTTTGAAAGTTTTCATATGTTACATAATGATTTTATTTTACTCGAACATAATTGTTTTTTTAGGAAATATACGTAAGTATAAAAAAGCTAATTAATTCATTATTATGTTTAAATCCCAATAAATTAGGGTATCATTTGAAGAATAAAATTAATAATACCTTTCTTTTTTTATATTATAAAGTGACAAATACTTTAAGATAGAAAATTTTCAACATGAAATGAGAAAGAGGGAATAGCATACCTGAGGCATTTATTTCCTTGCTTGAAAAGATATATATGTCTCCCTTAAAGAGGAGTACACGGTACATTCATCTACCAAAAAGAATTGCTACTAGGATAATGGGGTATGAAAGGAAACACAAGAAATTGCCGATATTGGTATGATGGATTAATCAATCAAGTTATAGCTGGGAGAGGGTGAAGATCTAAGAGAGAAATTATTAGGTTGAATTAGTTGGTCAATTTTTTTTTTATACTATTGAGAATGTGAATTAACATCTATTATTTGAGTTTATTTCAAATTAATGGAGTATTATTAGAATTTCTACGGTTAAGAATTTTAATTATAAGAATTATAGATGTTGTTACACTTTTATGAATATTTATATTTGTAAGTTAGTTTTATGTTTATGAATAGAATTTGTATCCGCTTTTAATTGTGTTTTATGTATTTAAAGGTTGCAAGTATGAATAAAAATACATGAGTTTCAACCTTCTAATTTGTCTGAATTCATATAATTGGTATAAGTAGGGGTGGACAAATTAAATTGCACTAAACTGAACTGTTAAAAATTATATTAAACTGAAAAGTAGTTCAATTAAATTGAACTGAAAATTAAATTACACAAACTGAACTGAACTGTTTTTTATTCTATTAAACTGTACTGTACTGAATTATACTGAACTATAATATAAATTAAACTAAACTGCTCTGCAGCTTAATCTATTTCTGAACTGCACTATTTTTGAACTGAACTATTTATGAACTGCTTCTAAACTGTGCCACCAATTTATGAACTATATCAAAATCTGATTATTCAACTGCCTTGTTGCCCTTGTACGTGTTTATCAATTGCTTTTGTACATCATGAGAAACTGGTGAATGTTCCTTATATTCCATAGTGAATTCGCCTTTGCGCTGCAGTTATTAAGGAACCACCAGGAAATTAAAAGCCAAATATAAATTAATATAAAAAACATGAAATATTCTAGTGGCGTGATATTTACCTGTGTCATTGATCGAAGAGCTGTGGAGTACCCAAACATATTGTTAAGAGGAACCTGAAATGATTAATAAACCTACTTAGCAATGACAAATGGACAAGTTATAGCTATAGGTTCACGCACTAAATATTTCAAATAAATAACAGAAGCAAAATAAAACCAGTAAAATATTCATTGCACAGGAAATTTCCAATCTTCCAAAATAAATATTTTACAAGCAGATTTTATAAGTCCCATTAAGCCCGTAATTACACATAAATATTGAAGCATGCTCACAACTATAGTTTAAAGATCTAGCAACAAATCATTTGTAGAAGTTTGCATTTGCAGTTGCATATACATAACCAAATGCTATTAGTGTTGAGGCTTCATGGCAAAAACTATTTGCAGTTGTAGTTACGAATGAGCATTTTCGCACAAAGGGAAAATTGCATTTTCGCTTCCGGTGTGAATTAGGGATTCCGATTCCTGATAGCGTGCGTGTGTACAAGAGCTAAGCGTCGTGCCTGTGCGTGTTTTTATTTTTTTAATGTGTAGTTATTTATAGTTAAGCAAACTATAACTTAAATAAGTTCAGTTTTTTAAAATTGAATTAAAAAATAGTTTAATTCAGTTTTATTTTAAATAGTTTTAGTTTTTTAGTTTAAAATAATTCAGTTATCTAATAGTTTTAGTTAAGTTTAGTTAATTTTGCCCACCCTAGATATAAGAGCTTATTTTGTTCTTGAAGAACCTGGTAAGGTTGAGAGTTCCACCAAACACCTAAACATTTATATTGAGAATTGAAAATGCAATTCGATTATTCAGTCCAAACACTACCAACATTTGATGGTGAGAATTATCACCTATGGGCAATTGGAGGCTTTTCTTAATGCAAATGATCTTTGGAAAGTTGTTGAGGAGGATTATGAGGTTGGTCAATTACCAGAAAATCCAACACTTAATCAAAGCAAGTATCATAAGGAAAGAAAGCAGCGAAAATCAAAGGCAAAGTCTTGTCTATTTTTTGCTGTTTCTCAATCAATCTTCACTAGAATTGTGACTCTAAAGTCAGCAAAGGCTATTTGGAATTTTCTCAAACAAGAGTATGAAGGAAATGAGAGAGTCAAAGGGATGCAAGTGTTTAATTTGATCAGGGAGTTTGAGATGCAGCGGATGAAGGAGTTAAAAAGGGTGAAAGAATACTCTAATAGTGTGACACCCTTCTACCCCATAATAGATAAGTAACACTTGCAAGATATAGTTATCCACTTACTGACATTGTTGGAATGAAGTCAATAATATTTTTTATTATCTTAGAGGAAATTTTTGGTTAAATCCTCATAATAGTAAATCACAAATGAGGTATTTATTTACATGTGGTGATATAGTCATACACGTGAGATTGTTACATGTATTACTTGGTGAAAGAAGAGTGCACTAAAGGAGATGGAACAAAACATTTTTTCCTAAGTTATTTTCAACTTGTAATCATCAAAGGAGTGGTGATATAATTATTCAACAAGCCTTCTTATATGAGAACCTAGAAATATCATTTTACAAAGTCACTAACAAGTATAACTTTTAAGCAATTGGTACACAAGATTAATCTTCTTTATCTCAAAGATGACTATGAGGAGACACTATACACT